GGTCACAACAGCTTCACACACAAGCGAAGCCCAAACTTTCTTACGTCTTAGTTCTCCATTCGGCCTTGCAGTATACAATATGCGCACTTTGATGCGGATCGGACGACAAACATGTCTGGCCTATATATATATATATATATATATATATACATATATATATATATATTACACAATCTGTGGTACAGGTATTGTGCCATCGGAATCATGGCTGAATAGGAAAACAATATGAATAATAAGAAGAGAGCAACAACAAATGTTTTTTGTCTATTTTGCCACTCACAGTTTTTGACATTTTTTCAATTTGTTCTTTTTTATGGGGAAGAAGAAGGGACACCGCAACAAACCGATGCACACGTCCGCCATTGACATCGATCTTGAGCCATAACTTCCAAGGTCTTCAACCAGCAAGTATCCGCATCTCTCGGACCCCAACCAGGTAGTCGACAATAGCCGGCCGAGTCCAACTCTTTAGCCAACTTTTTCATGCGGCTTCTCCATGTTGTAGGCTGTCCATCAGACCGTTTCTTCCAGACCTGTCCAGCAAGTGCAAACAACGCACTACGGGGGTAGCGCTGGACAGGCATGGGCAATACATGTCCCAACCACCGCAGTTGATGCAGTGAGACGAGCTCCTCGAGCGAGTGGCTTCCACGTCCCAAGACACGCTGTCTAACTTCCAAATTGCTTACGTGGTGCTGCCACCACACACGGGCAATGGACCGCAGACAGCGGTGCTCGAAGACGGATAGCCTGCGCAAGTCATCTTTACGAATGGGCCAGGTCTCGCATCCGTACAGTCTCGGTGGACATCTGTTGCCTTTCAGAAACCAGGATGTAAGACGCCAGTACCGTCATCAGATTGACATCTCCGGTAAACTTGACGTCAAATACCACTTGCACCTTACCGGAGGCCCAGAGGCCGTCGCTTCTGGCGAAGTTGGTGTCGGGGTTGCACTGAGGTTGTTTTGTTTGACTGTATCCCAGTCAACAGTCAGCTATGTGCAATCAGACTACGCGGTTCATGTAAGTTAAGTAAGCGTTGAGATGTCACGCGCCTTGTTTGTCATCTCCGCCTACGCTCCTACAGACTGCAGCCAAGATGCAGTCAAGGATTGCATTTTACCAACAGCTACATGAACTTCTGCGTTCCGTTGAAAGGTCTGACATTGTCATTTGTGCCGGAGCTTTAAGCACGAGTGGAAAGCCTGCCAGCAAGCGCGCACCATCTTGGGGGTCGTTTTGGCCTCAGTAACAGCCGACCAGACAATAGAGACTTTTTGTTCTGATCATCGCAAGTTTCCTTCGAGTACAAGTTTTCGTCGCTCGAAAAGACAGTCTGCTACTTGGCGTCCGCCTTCTCAAACACAAGATTTGTCCCAGCTTGAGCCAATAGCAATAAGCTGAAGATGGCGCGGAAGCGTAACAGACTGCCGATGGTACTCGTCAAGTTGTATGAACTCCGATCACGCACTAGTTCACGCCAAAATTTGCATGCGCTTCGAAGGATCATCCAGACGTACGCACTACCGACGGAATGTCGAACAGCTGCAGAATTCTGCGACGTTAGCTAAGTACCAGGCTTCTCTGTCAACACTACTTGCTTCATCCTCAGATGATGGTCTCAATTCGCAATGGATGCGCATCAAAGACGCCTTAATTTCCGCCATTACTGTCAGTTGTGGATTTGCTTGTACCCCGCCGAAAAGCTGGGCCACCGCCTCCTTTTCGCTGATAGACAGACGCCGCTTGATACCAGGCGACACCAGCTGCAGTGAGGAACTCCGATCCCTGGATCGCGTGTTGCGTAGGAGCTTACAGAAGGACCGTGGGACCTGCTGATGTGAAGATACTAGCGAGTTTGAACTTGCTAATCTCTCTGGTAATACCAGAAAACTGTTCCACCTCATCCATATCCCCGAAGGCTTCCGATCAGGAGTAATCGAAATAATCTGCGAAGATGATGACTCTTAAATCACTAATCTTCAACAACGGTTGGAACGATGCGCCGAACATTTTCGCTCGCAGTTTACCTGGCCGCCAGCTCCATCTGTTTCATCTGGGGCGCGCAATGGTAATGAGTGAACTATCCCAACTGATCCTCCCTCTCACCAGGAAATCTGGCGGGAACTCTGCTGCCCAAAGTGTTATAAGATACCCGTCCAGATGGTCTATCTCCTGCTCTATTCAAAGAACGCAACACTTCCCGGGTTCGAGAACTCACCGCTTTGTGCTCAGAAGTCTGGGCAAAAGAGGAGGTTCCATCATCCATGAGTGAGTCGATAGTCGTCCCCATCTTCAAAAAGCGTCTACGCACAAACTGCTCCAATTGCAGGAGCATAAGTTTGATTCCCGTCGTTTGCAAGATTCTGGTGTCCATCATTCGTCGCAGGCTATCCCCAACGCGTGAATCACTAAAGCGAGAAGAACAGGCTGGGTTCCGCCCTGGTCGCGGCTCCATCGATCAGATTTTCACTCTCCGCCAAATTCGCAAACTCCGTAATATGTATCAAAAATCAGCGATTGTTATGTTTCTGGATATTCGTGCTGCCTTGGATTCTGTCGACAGGGCTGCATTGTGGCATTGTCTGTTGAGGAATGGTATTCCCGGGAAATTCGTTTCTATTCTGCGTGCTCTGTATTGTCTGACCTCGGGTAGAGTTGGGGCTTATGACAAGCCTTCGTCTTCCTTTGTTGTCACCAGTGGGGTTCAACAAGGATGCTCTATTTCTCCATTCCTCTTCAACTTGCCATTGAGGATGTCCTCAAAATGCTCTAGAAGACTTGTTGGACGCTGGCGTTGAGCTCCTCTCAGGGAGTCGGGTGGTTTATTTGGATTACGCTGAAGATATTGTCTTGTTTGGTGACCGTCCACAGGCTATCCAACTTGCACTTAACCGCCAAGCGATTGAAGCTTCGAGGTATGGCATGCACCTTTCACCATCCAAGTGGAAAGCGCCGCTTCAAGACTGATATACGCCCCTACCTGCACTCATCATCGATAGAGAAACGTTAGCAGTGGTACAGAGTTTTTTCTACCTGGGAAGCTGCATAACCGCTGATGGGGCTGTTGGAAACGAGATTTCGATGCGTATCTCCAGAGCTCGTCTCGCCTTCTCCGGGCTGAGGCATTTATGGCGCTGCCATGACATCCGTCTTTCCACCAAAAGTTTATAGTGCTACTGTCCGCGCTGTACTGTTGTACGGTTGCGAGACTTGGCCTGCTCATACTGATGACCTACGTCAACTGTCTGTCTTCGAGAACCGTTGCTTGCGGTCCATCGCCTGTGTGTGATGGTTGAACCACGTAACCAACGCTGAAGTCAGACTGTGTGTCTTGGGTGATGACAGCCACTCCCTCGAGGCGCTTGTTTCGCAACGCCAACTACGATGGCTCGGAAACGTACTGCGTATGCCTGTTCATCGTTTTCCTCGTAGTGCCTTGATCTCGGTTGCTGGACATGGTTGGAAGAGGCGGTGTGGTGGACAGCGTACAACTTGGAGAAGCAGGATGAGAAAGCTGACAAAAGAGATGGCCACGGTTGGTTTCTCCCGACTCCCTGGATGGGGTCCCAAGGATGTTGAGTGCAGTTGATTAGAAACTTTGGAAGTCATGGTTCGAAACCGAACTCAGTGGCGGGCGTGTATCTCTGCTTGTTGCGGTGATTGCCCTTCCTTCACCCAATAAAAACATCAAAAAAGTGAGTGAAAAAATGGACAAAATATTGTTCGTTTTCTTACTTCTTGTACTCTAATCCTGTTTTACTATTCCGACATGGTCCCGATGGCACAATACCTGTACATTGATTTTGAGCAATATATAATGATTAAAACGGGCTGACGTACTACATCGTTCACCGTCCCTTGTCGGTTTCTGGAGTAAGCGATAAAACTAGTATTATTTTCATAATTTTATGCAAGGAATTCACGTAGACTCAGGAAGCTTTTGTTGTTGAATTCAGTGTAACCATTTGTTGATGACAATAGAGAACCCTATGAAACACCCTTGCAAAGCACTTACTTGAAGCGAGTGACTGCACATATAGTTCATTTCATGTCGCGGAGTGAAAAGTGAAACATGATGTGGGTGTTAACAAATATGTGTTCACAGATCGTTTAATGAGTTTACAACAATCACAGTTGATAAATCAGAATCTAACCATTATAGACGGCAGACATTCATGCGTTTAGGTAAGGTGCTAAAACATGGTAACAGCAGTACATTTCTTCAGACTAACCTGAGCATGTTATGTGTGCTTTGAGTAGAATAGTTATTTCAGCGTACTGCTGAGTAGGCAGTAAGGGTCGGTATACATCACACCTTAATCGCTTGGCGTAATCCTACTAATTCGACGCAAATACAATACATCGTTTCTTATTGGTCGATCGAATGCGTAACCAAGCACTAGGGTGTAGCAAGAATTTCACAGAGCAAAAGCGGGGAATTTCCCGGACCGCGTTGTATAACCGGCTACTAATCTGCGACATGTATGCACGATACCAGTCACGTAAATTCTCTTGCCTGTTGATCTATTTTCTCAGAGTCTGCTTATAAGGGACACAAATTTCTGTGGATTTTGCACTGCTCTCCGAGCTGATTGAGCATTTTGTAGACCTTCCTCTGCCAGACTAGGCAACATAATCAGCGCGGCTTTAAGGTCCTGTTTGGCAGAGCCTCCTAAGCGATTTCGAGAGCTAAGTGCTTATTGACCGAGTTCTTCTTCGGAAGAGCCACAAGCCGGCAGGCACGTGAGTTTAATGAAGCCTGCTCTTCAAAGCTGAACTAGCTCAATAAGCACTTAGAGCTTGAAGTCGCTTACGAGGTTCTGCGAAATAGGACCTTAAAGCCACACTGCTGATGTTGCCTAGTCTAGCAGCGAAACGTCTGCAAAATAATCAATCAGCTCGGAGAGCAGTGCAAAACCCACAACCACATCCCGAGCTACGGATATTCTCTACCATTTCAAACCACTAATTTCTCCATACGTCTTTCGTACACACAGGTTTGTGTGGAGGAGACAATGGAAGAAATACTGGCGCGGTACTTATGCTACAACGCTCACGCCGCCTCATACACTTGGAAGTATAACGGTGTTGTTCTGGACATGGGGAAGACGTTGGAGAAGAATGGCGTGCGGGAGGAAACACAAGACATCGAAGACAGATTCATGCCGCAGATACATTTGTACTATAACGATGATCTTACTGAGGCGTAAACGAAATTATCCACTGCAACAAGAAATCAAACACCAGTTTCTGTAAACACAGATGCTCCATTCTGGCGTCAACAGAGGACAGTCTACTGTTGGACAGAATGCGAAGAAAACAATGGCACGCTTGGACAGTGGTTTATTTCTTTTGCTGGACTTAAAATCCAGCTCACCTCACTATCTGAATTTGTTTCCGAGAAGTAAACAAAAATGGTGTGAAAGCTTGGCAATTCTGAATAATTCACCATAACGGGTTAGAAGTTGGTGTTGCTTCCTTCTACCTCGTCAAAACAGCGGATTATAGAACTCGACATATATTGACACTATACAATATAATGAAGCTATGTCAAGCTACAGCCTTCTGATAAGTGATAATAATTTGACCAGCATTCATTGAGCTGAAGTTCGTGAATCGATTCGATGGCCCACGACCACCATTTAGGATCAATGATGCAACTACGTGAGAGTATTGTGCACGCCTCCTAAGTTTGATAGTCTTTTTGTTGTCGAAGACGAGTTACGAATATACCCTCAATCTCTATAAGGAGATGATATGTTCATTTCCGGTTTGTATCTTTAGGCTCATAGTTCGCAGGACGAAGAATGTAATAATATTATTTGATGCCATAGACCGACCATGACATACAGTGGTGGCAAACTCATTCTGATCCGTGGCCAAAAGGACAAGGTGTCTGCCTTGTAACCTGGATACCACTGGTTCATGTCTGCTTAGGGAACCGGACGACCGTCGCAGTACCCCTAGCCCCCTGCGTGACTGTTGGTGACTGCGTGTCAGTGAATTGTACGTTCGGCGTACCGGCATACTGCTTATCAGTCATTACTTGGAAGCCTATTCGTTCTCGGTGAGTTACTACGGTTACTCATTCATCAGCGAGACTGTTCGCTACACAGTGAACCACTGACCTCCTCGACTGGTGATGAAACATCTGCGACAAAATTACCCAGTTCGGAGAACGAACCAAAGCCTTACTAAGGGTACTAGTTCAACGTTGACCCCAACACAATGAAAGCGACGGTCAACAAACGCAGATCCCAGTCCAGTTTGCTCTTCTGTCAGAGGTGTTCCAGCTCCTTTAATTTCAGGGAATATGCGAATTATGTTATCACAAAGGCAATGCAGGTATCGGGACATATTAGTCAGTTACTAACACTGAAAGAGACAAGGCTGTTGGCATATAAAATCAATGAAAGACACTTGTTAGAATACTGTTGCGTTACGTTCAGCAATTCACGTATATTTGACTTGAAGGGCATAGAAAATGTTTAATGCGCCCACACCAAACGCATCTCTGGTTACTCCACACTTGTTCCTCATAAAGATGCGATAAATCAAAAAGTGAGCCATTGTGGCTGCTTAGATTACGTTTAAATCTTAGTTTCCTTCACAAAGTTGTATGGCATAACGTGCATAGTGAACACCGCTCTATGCAATTTCTGTTGGAAACCAGATATGAAGTACACCATACCGAATGTATGGTTGTAGTACCTCCATTCAAGATCACAGTCAGACATGACTTTTATCTTATAAGGTTAAGCCTGATATGGAATACAGTACCTAGTTGTATACAATGTACAAAAAGCCTGAGCGTACTGAACAAAATGATTACGATTTGCTTGACACAAGTAGACGTGAAACATATCTCAAGTTTTCATATGAATGACGATAGATTGGTTGAGGAAGGCTTGGGTCATATTTTAAGCGAAAAGATCACGGTAGCCATTTGCTGAACATGATTAGTCTATAGTCGCGTTTTATTTCCAATATCTGTCGAAACCTGCCCTACGTTAAACTTCTGTACTCACTCTCACGTCTCTTATTTCTTTTGCATGTCTCCACCGAGCGATCAGGAACAGATATTTGTTTGAGATCGATTGTCTGGAATTAATGCACTAGTCGCCTTACATTTCTGATGGTTTCAGTTGTTTGTCTTTTGAGATAAAGCCACCCCAACTGCAGACGCTATCAAGTGCATTTGGATTATCTTTACTGCTCCTTATTGCTTACAAAACCGTAGCCGGAATTCAACAAATCTTTCTCTCGAAGTTTCCGTACCATCGCCCTTATTGACCAAGACTTCCCATGCACTTGGGAATGGTCTATCTGCAAAACGTAGTTATTAGTAGTATGCTTTTTAATTCCTCATAATTTATATGCTTCCTTATTTCGCTGTTAGTCAAAAGTGGACTGATGTCTTGAACCGACGGATTACAGCTTCCAAGTTAAAAATTTATGTCTATGAATGGTGTACTGCCATTGACTCATTGGCATATAACAAAAAAGTGCCATACTTGAATGATCCGCATGTCAAAACTGGCTGATACTTCATCACCCATAATACATGCATAAAACCGCCCTTATAAAACACATCTGTGAAACAGGTGTTGGCTTACATGCTATACTGCCACACCGGCACACAGTCAGTTGGAGCGCGGAAGTGTGCGTACAATGAAACAATGGTTTATTACGGGTTAAAAAGTGCATTGCTTAACAAGTCCCGTGGGATGGAACTTATTGCGTAAAGTGAATTGCATGATAAAAGGAAAAGCATTTTGGTGGACTCACCATAGACTTATGTAGAATAGCGAAGATGATCGCGTATTAAACGTATAAATCCATAAATCCATTGGTTGGGAGTTTGGCAAGACACCGTTTGATTGCGCTTTGCAGCCCCTGACTAACAATTCATTAAATGAAATGTAAATGAGACAATGCATCGTCAACTCGCTTTTAAAATATCGCCAGGTTGGGAGCAGAGACGAGATAATTTGTGAGAGCCTTCCAAGGCTGGCACATGCTGAGGCAAAAGAAATTTCCACTGCATTCAAGCCGGCCACACTGTATTGTTAGTTTCAGTGAGTGAATTCTTAGGTTAGTGTTGTGGTTCAATTCCAGCAGCGGAGGGCAAACGTGGTTGGGGTTCTTCAGAATTTGGTATAGCATTTTGAGATCCCCCCGCAAAAGCCGATATCGACTGCTGTACATTTCAGTAGATTTCAGTCTAAGCTGATAAGGCTGATGAAAGAGTCTCCTGACGTTCTTGGTTGCCCTTCGTTGAGAAGTCTCGAGAGCAACAAGATCCTGTTTCTGCCACGGCTGCCACGCCTGAATAGCATATTCTACGTGCGGTCGCACATAAGCGTTCAGCATTTGGAGAAAGATTGAGGCTTCAAATCGACCGAATGCTCTGCGAAAGTAGACCGAAGTGCTGAATGCCGGTTCTCGTCGCCTTCTCTGCTTGTTTTGAACACACGAGATCTTCCTGTACCAATACACTCAGGTCACGCTCCTGAGAGAGCTTCTGAAAGGGGTGGTCTCCAATCTTGTAAGCGCTCACCGGCTGGTGATGCAGATGTATCACCTTGCACTTAGCTATGTTCAATTGAAGCAGGTTCCTCTGTGACCATTTATAAATACAATCTATGTCATGTTGGAGTAGATCGTGATATTCATTGTTACTAATCACTCACCATATATTGACGTAATCAGCGAAAACCAGAAAATTTGAGGAGATAACTCTTGTCAGGTCGTTGATAAACACCAGGAATAAGCGCGGTCCAGCACTGAGCCTGGAGGGACACCACATTCCACCTCAATCCGGTTAGAGAGTTACCCCTTAATGCGTACTTGAAGCTTCCATTGGTGAAGGAGGCTCTCACTTCAACCAAGTACAGGATCTCCGATTCCGTAGCTCTGTAGCTGTTGTAGTAGGATGCGGTGACTGAGGCGGTCGAAAGCTTTGGAGAAGTCCAGCTAGATGACATCAACTCCGACCCCATTATCAGCCACTTCCGTCCAGCTACTTCGTGCTATCAGTCGGTTGGTGGTGCATGACCGTGTTGACGGAAGCCATGCTGCTCCGGTGCCAAGATTGTCACGTACGCGAATGACTTCGATCCGTTTACTCAGCCGTGCGTGGATTGGTTACCACACAAAACAGCCAGCCAATCATCAGACACACACCCCCGGTCTCGCAACGCGAGTTCCGTGAGTGTTGTACCTTCCTCAATTGATTGCTAAACCTCCTGCTGCTTAGACGTCTTCTGCTTGCTGGGATTACGTGTCTCGGAAGCGTGCGTTACATGCTTAGTGGTACTACGTATTAGTGGCACCCGGCTGTCGGCTAAAGTCGCGTACAAGTCTTCAATACGTGGTAGGGGATATTTTTCCACTTTCGACGCTTGGTTGACTGTCAACTTGTAGTCCCCGCAAATACGGACGGAGCCGTCAGGTTTGAGTACAGGTACAATGGGAGTGCCCCAATCCGAATGTTGCACCGGAACTATGACTCCTTCTGATTGTAGACGTTGTATCTCTGCCTCAACTTTAGGGCGCATTGCATAAGGTAATGATCTAGCTTTGTAAAATTTTGGTTCGGCGCCCTCTCGGAGTTTGATGGAAGCCTTGAAATGACGCATTTTTCCCAGTTTATTTTCAAACAACGATGAGAACTCGTTCAATAATCCATTCAAACTGCCGTCTTCAACAGTGAGTTGGTTGAGTTGCATGGTCTCGGGAAAGAACTGTATCCAATCTCGACCCATGAGATTCGGTTTGTTCCCAGGTACAACGATTAAGGGCAGGGTGAACTCTCGCTCCTCGTGCCTGGCTTTAACGAAACATCTGCCCAACACCTGAATTGGATCACCTGTGTACGTCTGTAATCTCGAGTTGCACGGTAGCAAAGGTGGTAGCTTTTTCATTGAACCGCGGTTTACAATGGTGACCGCCGCCCCAGTATCGAGTTCCATGTCTACCGGTTCATCCTCTATCATCAAACGTATTGTATAAGGAGGACAGTTTTTGTGTGTCACACTCTTCAAGTACACGGAGTTAAGCTCACTGTTCAAATTTTTTAGGACATTATCTTCCCGTAACTCTATCTTGCTTTGACGATTTGATGAGGCGATGTTCGTGGGGTAGGTAGTCCATTAACACCTCAGCGACGACCGCTTCCATCACTTTCGCGAGCACAGGGAGGAGATTCACTGGGCGATAGTTTGCAGGATCTGAACGGCTACCGCCTTTAAAAACTGGGGTGATAATGCCGCGCTTCCACATAGTGGGGACCTGTGGTTCATCAAAGCACCTATGGAAAAATGTGACAGTGGTTCAGCTAGCTTGTTGGCCGCAGCCTTCAGTGCCTTCGGGCGGATGTTGTATGCTCCCGGAGAACTATGCTCACGCAGTGAGAGTAAC